ATCACTATGCTAAAAGCTATAATCTATATAGTAATACTATAAAGATATAAAACAAAAATGCTATGCTGCTACAAATGTAATTGCATTGCTAATTTAAAAATCAATTGCCTTCATTTTCAATACTAGTACTATTACCACCTTTTTCAGTTCTTTCGTTGATATTTTGATGATTATTGGCAGCTCGGCTGCTGCTAGCGGCAACATTTTCTTCATAGTCTTCTCTTTCTAATTCATTCACTTCTTCTTCTTCTTTGTTGGAATGATAAAAAGAAAAAATAGTCCAAACAGGTGCATCAACTAGCGGTTTAGAGCTATCATACCACCTACTGTCATTATGCTATAATTTTCTGGCATATTTAATATGCGAAATTTTTTCCCCAACCTCATCGGCAAGCCGCAAAATCTTTTTAACCTGCTTTACATAGAATAAGAAATATAAATGTAAAATAATATGATTATAATGATCATAATAATAACTATTATTTACCTAACAGGATCTCCAAGGCTTATTGTAAACATGAAACACATGATTGTCATTTGCTTTTTTAGATTCTGGACAAACTTTCATTCGACGTTTTGCTTGCAACTTTTCATTATCGATTTTGGATATTTCATCCGAATGATATTCATCATCATTTATAACTTCTTTAAGGTCAGCTTTAAAATCGTCCCAACTTATAGAAAGGGCAAGATCTGCGAAGTTTTTATTATTGCTATTAAGTATATAGTGAATGCCTCTGATTCTTCTATTTTTTTTTTAGAGCAATGGTAATTAATATCGGTTGATCAGTAGTTTATTAAGATAATTCTTATTGGGCCTATGATAATGTTGCAAGTTATTATATTTGTTTTGCGATGCTTATAGGTTTTTGTATAATACAAATATAATAACTTGCAAAGTGACCATAACTTATTTCGATTAATCAAATAGACCTATACATACAATTGATGCCTACCATTTATGTCTACTCTTTTTTTATTTTTTGATAATTTCTTGGGATCATTATAGATTTTCCATTCTTCCCAACGATGTCGATAAAGGCTTTTTAGGACATATTTTAATTCACTCAATTTGTACCTAAAATTGCCTTCAAGTGCCTTTCCGATTATTGGCATAGTTTTCATGGCCATGTGGTGAGAAATTTCATTCCAATTTTTCATATAGTCTTTCTGAAGCCTTTCGTCAAGGCCATCAACTATTTGAAGAACTTCATCCTACATATTAAAATAAGCATTCAGTAACCTGATAGCTCTATAATTACTTAAATATATGTGTTACAGTATTATAGAAAATTTAAAAACTACAAATTCAATTTCCACATACTAATATTATTTTACATACATGAAACAACTTATATTGTTCTTTATCCATGTCTTACAGGATTTCACGTGACCTTTTAGGATAGCCGGAAGATGGTTTTTGCTGATGATTATTACTATCGGCTTGCTGTTTCTGTTTATCTTTTGTTTTTTTGGCACTTGTTGGTGCACTTGCAGTTGTGATAGTAAGGCAATTGCTGGTGTTATTTGTTCTATTGGTACCAACATTTGCCATGGTATTGCTATCAGTATTATCGGTATTGGTACTATTATTATTAGTGGTGGGGTGATTAATACTATCATAATTATTGGTGGTGGTAGTGGATGGATCATTATAACTACTATAATTGCTGGTGGTGGTAGTAGGCCGATTATTATAACTATCATTATTGCTGGTAGTGGTGGTAGGGCAATTATGATTTGCTTCCAGGTCTATTAATTCACAGTCTTCTAGCAAAAATGATAGTCCAGTGGTACTAGTTGTTTCAATACCTTCATCACTTTGATAATTATATGCATAATTACCTTGTTCTTGTACACTTGGAGTTGGGAGGCGAGATGCTTTTTTTAGCTCTTTTACTTCACTTATTAAAGAATGAACAGCTTCTTTCAAAAAGCTAATCTCTAGTATTTATAAAAATGTTGTTAGACCTATCAGTATACCAATAGCTTTATTAAAAAAAAAATAGTCTTAATATTACCTGAGTCACTTCTAGTATTTCTATCAGGAGATCTAGAACAATAAGAGGTACGTCTAGAACTTCTTTCACGTGAAAGAGAGCAGGACCTGGACCTGCGGTTAGATCGATGATATTGATTTGAACAAGTTGGTGTTGGGGATCGATTACGGCTTCGTGAAGTTGTTATAGATTGATTTCGGCTTTGTGAAGGTGTTGAATGATAACTTTGTTGTGATTGCATAATAGGGAAAACTGATCGACATCAAGGCACTATTCGAATTTTTTGGGTGCTTCTTTCATGCATATTGTTTTTCAAAAAAAAGAATAAAAAATAACAAAAGTGTTTTAGTCAAAAGGGTTTAGTAATATCAGCTGTTCGATTAGTTCAAAAAAAGAAAGAAAAAGACAAGAAAACTGTTTTTTATATAATAGTCTACCTTAGATTTTAATATGTATTCTGTTGTATCTAATTAGTAATGATGATATTATAGTTACTGCTAAATAAAATATAAGCGAAAAGAAAAAGTATATCAATTAAAGTGGCTCAAATAAAAGTATGATATATTACCAATACGAAAGGTAAATTCTACTAACGTGTACTCAATAATAGTATGATATATTATACAAAAAGAATGAGTTAAATTAGTTAACGTAAGCATAAAGAAAGTGTGACTTATTTATAGATTAAAGTGCGCAAATAAATTGACATCTGAGTTAAAATTAAATATAATCGGACTTGCATAATATTGCATGATCTATAGAAATTAACTTGTATATTATGCAAGTATGATTAGTTTATATGATAAAAATCTGATAGCTTTATTATTTGATTGTAATATTTATATACAATATACTTAAAGTATTAATTACGAATTTTTTAAAGTTATAGAAAAAAGAAAGAATACTATAAATTAACAATAGTTTAGCTAATATAGCAAAAACTATTGACACTCTGATATTTGAATTGATTAAAAAGCCGATCAAGTATAATTAAATTGTCAAAACAAAAAAAAAGCCAAACAATATTTTAATACTAATAGCTTTATTTACTGAAATAATATTTATATATTATAAACAAAAAATATTAAAACAAATAATTACAGTTATTGATAATAACAATAGTTTACACTTAAATAAAAAAAAGATCTATTGGCACACTGATATTTTAAATATATTTAAAAAGCTGATCAAATATAGTTTCCAAACAAAAAGTATAATTGTCAAACCAAAAAAAGTCAGACAATATATTAATAATGATAGCTTTATTAACTAATTTTAATATTATTATATTTATAAACTATACATTAAAGTATTGATTACGAATTTGTTTATAGCAAAAAGTAAGGATACTAATGATTATTGATAGTTTACGTTAATGAATTAAAAGACCTATCAGTATACTAATATTTTAATAGATATAAAAGCCGATTAAGTAAAATACAAAACAAAAAGTTTAATTATCAAAACAAAAATTATAATCACCAAATCAAAGCATTTAAAATTCATACGATAATAGCTTTTAGAAGACCTTTAGGCATATCAGCATTCTGATAATAATTACTAAATATTATTCCAATAGGTAATCAATAAAAAGAATGTATAAACAAAAAGTATAATTGCCAAAACAAAAGTTTAATTGTCAAAACAGAGTTTAAAAATTACGCGATTATGGGTTAATAGCTTTTAGTAGACCTTTATGTATATTGGCACTCCGATATGTTTCGTTAAGAAACCAAATTGTATATAAATAAGGCTTACCTTCTAATAGACTGAATCTATCATTCTTGTTCTTTTCGCAATCGCTCAAAAATTCTCTAGTTCAGCTCATATATTTTCGTTTATCCTTAATTCTTTCGCTCATATATTTTCGCTTGTCCACAATTCTTATCACATCATAATGGGTCACCAAAAGAATCCTTTCATTAAAAAAACTATTAGAAAAGCAAATTATCCCAAATACTCAATAACCAGCCCTCTTAAAGCTTGCTATTGCAATAGCTGTAATGGTAAACTTGTTGATCCATGCACTAGAAAAGCTCATATGCTAAAAAAGAACATTACTAGTGTAACAAGAGATTATCATGACACTGGTGAATCTTCAAATAAAGCAATTGTTACCTCTGCAATAGCGCTTCCAGGAATAGACATTTTTGAAGAACTTCTGGAAATAGACATTTCTGAAGACCTTTCAGAAATGGATATTTATGAAGAACCAACGCACATTAATAGCTTAGACAATGACTCTGTCATTTCTTTATATAGAAATGATTTTAGTTTCATTGCTAAAAGTCAATCTAAAAAAGGAAAGAGATCGGTTGGAAATGAAGGAAAGAGGAGTACACAAAATCTTATTTTCGTAGAGAATTTATTCTCTGATGAAGAGAAAAATGTCGCTGAAGACCTAGACCTATCAGACGATGAGATGAAAAATTAACAAATCAAGAAATCAACTTCAATGCTCCTGAAAACTTTAATGTTGAAGCAGAAGAACATATCGGTATTTTAGATGTTCTTAAAGGTTTCCTGTAGATTATTTTATGGATTCTTAAATTCCAAGAGAGATATAAGTTATCTGATATGGCTACAGAATCTTTATTAAAATTTATCTGGTACCTCTTAATTTGTCATGATGAAAAAACCCACTTCTCTTTTCCTTCGTCAATGAATATGGCATGTAAACATCTTGGTATTAGTGCTCACATGATCAAGTATGCAACTTGTAAAAAAAGTGCAAATTATACAAAGTTGCTGATGTATCAACTGACAAACCAAATATGACACCTAAAATAAGTCATTGCACTTTCCAAGACTTACTGAATCACCCAATGGTCAATTTTAGACATTCTTGCAATTATCAAGTTGCTAAAAAAATGACTGTCACACAAAGTGTTATATATAGACCAATATTAATCTTTCCTACAGTTTCTTTAAAACACCAATTTCAACTGTTATTTAACCAGAAGGGATTTGAAGTATCTTGCAGAAAATGAACAGAGAGACTTAATGATCCTGAACATCTTACTGACATATATGATGGAAGAATTTGGAAAACTTTTCAAGATCCAAACAAAGATTCGCCATTCTTCCAGAATGAACTATCAGATTGCAATTTGGGTTTGATGATTAACTTAGATTGGTTCCAACCATTCAATAGTTCTACATATAGCATCGGAGCAATCTATAGCATTATTTGTAATCTTCTACGAGATGAGCGATTTAAGCCGTCAAACATACTGACATTGGCATTAATACCCGGGCCCAATGAACCTAAGCTATATCAACTAAACCATTATCTGGCACCAATAATAGATCAATTAGTCGATTTGTGGCATGGTAAGTAACAAACTTAACATCAAGTCTTTAT